AGGAAAGTTAGAAATTTACTTGCATCTTTAGGACTTTCTTGCTGACTGGAGACGACGGAATGACAGGTGAGAGAGAGAGAGAGAGAGAGAGAGAGAGAGAGAGGAAAGTTAGAAATTTAGAACACGCGAGGAATGGAACTGTGGAAATATTCAGTGCTCGTAATGCTCTGGGCAAAAATGACGTTCTGAATTTTGTTTGAGGTTAAAAGAAGAAAAAGAATATTTGGCCAAGCACTCCTATCATTCCAGATATTTATTTTACGGCCAACTGAGAAAGTCCATTTATTGCTCGTTCATAACGGTGCGCCGTTTTACGATCTGATCGATATGCAAGAAAATATTGCTATGAATTTTTATGTAACAGGAAGGATGTGTTTTTATAAATAATATTTTGACACAGACGTCTGTAAATAATATTATTGTCTTTATATCTCACTGTTTACTGTTGTTGTCCTTGTAGGAGGGAACGTGTTGCAGTTTTGGTAAACGCTGAACGAAAATTATAGGCATTGAAAATTCTAAGGGTGCTAGATTTTGTCTTATAGGTATGAACGAAGAATTCATAGTATTGCGTCAAGTGTTTAGCAAATATTTAATAATGCTCATTCGTGCTGGAGTCATTGTGATAAGAATTACTGCGTGATTCGTTTTACGAATTTTTTCAGAAATTCAATTTGGTCGATAATTGTGTATGTACAAGGGCAGTCAGGTACACGTAGCATTTGATGATTTAACAAGTGATAGTTTTAGAGTTTATATGCTTTTGAAAAAAAAGATCTTATATACAAATTGCAATGCTGCATTGTACCAAGAAATAAAACTTTGCACATATTATCTTATGATTTTTTGGTTGGCTGCATCTACGTAATGCTACGTTTTGCACTGATTCAGTGAAGAACGGAATGCAAATATTTTACCCTAGTAAAAATCCTTTGTAAGTGTTACTATCACTTTTGTATAAAAAATTTGTATAAAAAATATTTTCTCACTGATACCAAATTAAAACTTTGTTTTGCGAATTAAACTTAAAAGATGTTAATGTCATTTTAATTTACTCTTAAACTGCCTATTTACAGTCTCTCGATTAATTGGCTGTAAAGATACATATTTTTTTTTCTTCGGAAAACAGTAATTTACAAGCAAACAGTTGCATTACGAGGCACTTTTAAATTATAGTATAGAATTTCAACATGCCTTTTATGTATATTTGCATTGAGATGGAATTGAATAATGTTCTAAAAAAAAGTGGCCCGTGTATTATTAAGTGAATTAATTGTTATACCAGTAATAAATTCGTTGACGATATATGGTTACGTTATAATGAATCACTTAACGATATTGATTCGCTTGCTAATTGCATTATGTCACAGCTGGTAGTTTACATTGAATATTAAAATTTAGATTTAAGCTCTGAACAACTTGACCGCCGTTTTTCCTCTACCCATTTGCCGACATTGCGCGTACATGTGTAACGGAGTGTAATCCAGCTTCGTTAGAGTAGTTGCGGTTAAATATGAATTAGATTTATCGCGCACGAAGGTATCTCAATTCTCGACGAGAATCAGCGAGACGCAAAGAAACGCGAGAATCACACCATGCATGTAATCGCTGAGTGTTCGGGTCGCGACTGCGCCACGCAAAGGAGACTTCATATGTGAGCGACGTACCCCACATACGCTACTATGGCTTCTTTAGTGGGGATAATTTTACGTGCGTACCTGTGTACATTTTTTTTTTAAATTCGTCTTAAAGCAGAGAGCTTTCGCGCAGCTCGGTTGATTTTTAAAAATTTGCTACATTTTCAAAGAAGTGGTAAATTATACTTCATTTTTTTTTGTATTCGCTCTCATTCAAAATATACACGATGCACCTCGTTACTTCAATTCGAAACACAAAAAAAGTAATTTTCAAAATTTTACGTCACTCCGTTATCGCTTCTAGTCAGAATTGGTATGAAGTAATTTGGTCAATTACATAAAGCCTGTTAAAGTAACTACAAAGGTTGACAATAAAGAAAATGAATATTGCGATTCTCTTAATTTTGTATTATTTCAGGCAATTGTAAACGTGACTTTAAGAATATGTGTCATACCTGTAAAAAAGTCGTAACTGACGAGGCGATAAGTACCTGTACGAGTTGACGTAGTTCTTCCGATAAGAAATGGACCGTGTGTATACCTTGCTGTTAATGTCTTGCATTTACCATCCAAGATAAGTGTAATCACTGGGTCGTGTGACTGAATCGAGAAAAGGTACAATTTTCGTTTTTTTTTAAGTCAAGAAATCATTCGACACTCCTTCGAAAAAGAGATTCATGGAATTGGGATCGAACTCTCTAATTTAAACACGATCGGTATTCCTCGCAACGGGACGCAAATACTTTTCGTCTCGGGTTGTATTTCGGCAATGCTTATAATACGGATCCTGATGAATCTCGGTCATCGAAATCCAGTTCGGTCTACGCACTGCTAGCTCAGCACGATTTCGCGAGAAAACGTTCATTATCCACATACAGGTAGCCAACGTGCGTTGTACACTGTTGGATAGAGTAGCTCGGAAATTGTAGAGATACCAACATATGTGTGTCACCTCATAAACCAGCTAAGATCATGAAGGGACCTAGACAAGTGGGAAAGTCAACGGCAGCTGCTCAATGGCGTATTAAATGAAAATCATCGGAATAGGTCAACGTCAATTGTAACGGCATTCGGTATGGAGCAGTGATTGTCAATTTTGTTTATTACATTATTAAAAAAAATTTATCGGTATAATCAAAGTAATATAATCTTTCCGGAATATTAGAAAAAATTATTATATTACAAAATTGTATGTTTCACGAAAGTGAATATTGGTCATTTCAAATAATATTCTAATCATGCTCTAATACGTCGTGTCTTAATGACCAATTTTCTCATCATTTTATGTATAAGCGTACAATAAAAATTGAGAAACCTGTTGTTCGGCGTTTTGTATTATACCTCAATATTAAGAAACGCCTTGAGGTTCGTATGACGTAGATATTATATTTGTTCGTCGTCACGAAGGAAGCCGCGTGTCAAGCGTCAATAGAAACGAGGATATATATATAATGAGTCTTATGTGCACGCAGCTGAACGCTGAAGTGACTAAGGAATCTCATAGAGACTAATGAAATCGCCACGCCTTTTACTCTTGTATTCTCGCTAAATATCCAACGCTCCTTAGCATAAATATATTTCGATGTTATTTATAATTACTGACCTATTGTTCAATAATCGTAGGGAATTACGCGTTTTGCTAGTCCACCTCCTACTCGTAAGGTTCTCCTGGGACCTTGTAGCAGAATAAACGGAAATAAGGTATACGAGTAATGATGCTGTGGATGCGCTACGAGATGACACGCTTTTGAGATAAATGCGTTCATCTTTTTATAAAGTAATGCAATTCACCTGAATAACACATTATATTTGCAGAACAATACATATTATACCTCTATGATGCAATACGTGGCTCATAGGAATAAATGTACTTTAAACCACTGAATGGGAGATATTAATGTCACTGGTGCAGTAATAACGATATTCTATTTTTTAATATGGATCTTGATGGACGAGATAATAATTTTTTTTTATTAAAATTCTTATTTTCAAGCATTCCCGTGATACTTGCAGTTTTCCTAGTTTTACGTACCGGTACTTGCTGGGCTGTAACGAATACCGTAATACTCGCGTGGGAAGACCTCGTAAATAAAATTACCCCTAACGACCAAAGATACGAATAATAATTGAAATTACGATTTCTAGGTCACTAATTACGTGAGTCTGGCTCGCGAGGACATTGCTGTAATCAATTGTACGAGTAGAAATAGAAGTTTGCACGTTGGACGCAGTGTCGAAGGCGATCCGATGTTTTCTGTTATTCGCGAGGGAAATTTAATAGCGACGTCGCCACGTGTTTACGTCAGACGTTTAAAGGTTGTATTGTACGCAGGATCTCTGGACGCTTATATAATTCATGCATCTGTTCTCGAGATTTACATTATTCACATAGGCGATGGGTTGACTTTGAGATCTCATCCCGTTGGTTATAGCACGTAATGTGCTTTAATAATGTGATTCAGTGTTATTTTGATGGCTTATATGAAAAATCGTGTATTACTGCTATGACGTCAAGACAATGTTGCCTCAGTATTAGCTCTTTGGGTTGACAGTGATGATATTACACGTATGATGCATATAGCCAGTTCACGAGTAAAATGAATTTTTGTTTGACAGGTCGAAAATATTGCAAATATTTAATAAGGTACACGTGGCTCTGCGAATAAAAATTGACGTTACGAACGTCACGCATGCGTATGATTTTGCAGTGAAATAAATATTTTTGCATTTTTTTTTCAGTGACATAAAACGCCACGTGTTTCGGATTTTTATTGCTATGGATCTGTCAAGTACAAAAGTGCATTTTACTCGCAGATCTACTATACGATGTACAAGTAATGTCATGTTATTAATAAACGTTAGAAAAGCGTTTGCATACTTACTTGTTATCGACAGCTGTAATGCCACTGCCAAACGAGCCAAGGCAGCAGCCAAATGCGCACTGTACTTTTCCAAAAGCTGATCATCTGTTAATACGCGTTGGTTAATTGGTTAGTATTGGATTATGGTTAATTGCTAGACATATACGACATGTAATAATGCTATTGCTCTGTTGACAGTCGGTATATACACATATAGTTTGATTCACATTGTTGAAGACAATAGCACCTGTACTTAAAAAAAAAAAGTAATTTATTTTTGACTCTTTTGTGTTCGCGTTAATACACAGTTACACTTGATTCCACGAGAGACAGTAGAGTACGCGAGAAAAAAAGACTTGCTCATTCGAAACATAAAAGAAAAAAGATAAAAGGTACCAGACGAATCTGCTGCGTGGCAAATCGAGTAAGGAGGATCGCGCACTCTTGAACTTGTAATTCGGTCAGGATTAGTAACGGCGGTTAAATGTCGTCTAGAAATCGCGAACGGGAAGACGGTTTTTCTTTAATACCGACAGGACGAGACATCGGACTGAGAAGAGTAAAATGTTGCATTACCAATTACAGATAAAAATTATCTGGACAGCCATTACGTAGATACGTCTCTCCATTCTTGTATTATCTTTCTATTTCATCTTTATTCTCGTATCATTCGTGAGCGCCTTTCGTTCTTCCCTCTGTCCTTTTGTTATATCTCGCGAATTTCCCAGAAGTCGTTACAGGGGCATGACCGAAATCAATATATACGTATAAGAATTCTCCGTGTATTCCAGGTAGAAAAAAAAGTACATTTACGTTTCGCACGTCGAATAAACCCTAATGCAGCATCCTTACGGTCCGTCGAATTTCATAGTTGAATACGTTTCTTTTACTACTTCGCTTTATTAACATTTACCATTACCAGGTGGCACCACATTCCGTCAGGTTAAATCGCGCATAGAAACATGTTCCCGTATACACAGCCATTTCTTATAGATGTATGTAAATAATTGTCGTGACGTTGAACCGTAACGTGACATTATTTATGGTACAGTGAAATTACGAGTATTATTAACGACAAGAAGACGAAACAGAATTGAGTATAAGTCGTCTCGTTAAGTGTCGAAATTTAAATTTTTGTTACGAAGAATTTTTTTTCTCCATACTATTCACAATGGCGTTATTAAACCAGGCTTAGATTAATTTATCCACCACAGAAGAAGCACTCTATGACCCGGAAGCCTGAGGACCTCGAGAATGTCGATAGTCATTATAAATACGCAGCGGGTTCCTTTGGCAATTATATAATCGTCAAGTATCTACGTATATGTATATACATATATATGTATACTCATATATGTACTTACATGCTGGGTGATCGTAAAGCCGGTCGATAGCTGTCTCGTCGACGTTACCAACGAGACCTTCGACTATCTTCTCGACGAAGTCCCGTACAGTTTCCACCGTGTCCTCGTCTTCTTGACTCCCTGCCGCCAAGCCCAATGCTGGGCTAACACCCGCATGTTCCGCTCCTGAGGTAACAGCGAAACAACGATTAGTGAGCAGAAATAATTGTCATTGTAGGCAAATGTGATGTGGTCGTTGATAGGTAAAATTTGTGTACGGTACGAAATTATATTTGTTGACGATGACGATAAGGCACGAATAGTGTA